ATGATCTAAAAAACATCCATAATGAACCTTATAGAAGTATGGGCTATGGRAGCTATGATTATTACTTAAATATTAATTTTATAAATATTTATAATTTTTAATAATGGTCCAGGTGTAGTAAATAATAAATCTAATATTAAATTCGAATATATATTTTGGTTAAACTAACTTTAAGGACTATTATCCTAAGTATAAAAATGTATTTAATAACCAAGAAACTATACACGTTCGAATTTTGAATAAAGTACATTAAAATTTTCAAAAAAATGATCATTTAAATAATTAACAGTAAAAAAAGTATTCTCATTTGAAAAATAGAAGTTTGTATCTTTACTGAACACTCGTTAAGTAGTAAAAATTCGAAATTTAAAGTATATAAAAGAAGAAAAAAGGGATGAGCATGGTTGGTGAATCACCCAATACGTATACATAATATACTATACTACAGGCATACAAATATAGGTTTTACTTTTTAGCTGCAACTACGCCTATAAGTATTAATGTAGGTATAACACATTTTTACATCTTAGTAATTTTATTATTATTATATTATGATAAGTTTATTATAGGTTATTTAAAACTCCATCCGACCATCCCCCCTTTGAAAATCGGAAGTACCTAACCTAACCGCACCACGGATAATATTTAATACATTCAGATTATGAATATCAAACTGAAGATTTATAAAATTCTAAGGCGCGATTATGAAATTATTTATTACGGCTAGTAATAAATGTAGGTAGGTACTTGGTAGTAGGCACCTTCGGGCTTCGAMGTCTTATTTCTATAAAAGTTGTAAAGTAATAAGCCAATAACCGGTAATAAATACTAAYAATGGCTAACAATATCACGCATGGACATATTATTTATTACGAGACATGAATAGTTGTAGTATAGTACCTATACATAATACATATATGATGAGTTATGAAAATGTATTATTGTAAATTGTTATTTGTATTACTACAAATAATTGTATTTATAGCATTTTCTTCTGATGTCATGGCGTTACTTGAGTATAATATTCGAATATGGCTCTAATCAGTGGCGTAATTAATAGTAGTGGTGACTGGTGAGGGGGACAGATTCCCAAAACTTTTATTTTACTGCCAAAATTTTATATTTGGTGGGGTGGGTTACTGATGAGGCTTATAGATTTTGCTATAAACATGTAACCCCCCCCTCCAAAAAAAAAAAAATCAAATTCCTAATAAGTAATTACGCCATTAGCTCTAATACATTATGTATGGAAGCAAGATCATTTTTTTAAAATTTAAATAACCTATTTGTTTATTTTAATTTTTAATTTTTTCGTGTATGTGTACAAAAACGTTAAGAAACCTTAAGTTAAAACACTAGGTGATAATATATTAATATTATGTAGGACTTGTAGGTATTATGTATGTTCACGATTTATGACAGATTTTAAATCATAGGTATACAATATAGCTATTAGCTACCGAGTACCGGCGATATGGTTCTTAGCTCTTGCAGTCAGCGTTTTCGTTTTACACTGCTGAAAATTAAGTGTTTTTTAACTGTCGCATTGGTCACACTGGACGTGTCTTAAACTTTCTAGCAACTAATATTCTGCGGTGGTTACAACTATACAGGCAGTAGATAAATAGTATTATCAGTATTCAGTGCAATACATATATATTTTTTTAGCTTCATGTTTTTATTTAAAAAACCTATTATAGATTCTTATTATATCAATTTTAATCTGTAACAGTACATATTTTTCTGAAATGTATATTTTTTTAAGATTATTTAAGAAATTTTAATAGTACTTTGGATAAAATGTTATTTTTATTTAGATGTTCCTAATAAAGCTAGATTTGAACAATATAAAATTCCAATAGTTTTAGTATTTATGGTCTTAATTAATTTTAATAATTGAATTAGAATGGAAGGTACCTTGAGCAAATGGACAAATGTTGTTAAAGGATGGCAGTATCGCTGGTGTGTTCTTGATGACATCTCAGGGACACTATCATATTACACGGTAAGCGTAAAAGTAACTAATAAATTATATTAGGTACAGACTTAAGGAGTTAGATATCTAATTATTATTTGAACATGACATGTATAGAATTGATAAATTATTTTATACACTTTTATTACATAGGTAAGTCTCAAATACACTTTTTAAGCAGTAGGTAAAATGTATTTATTTTTTTAAATTAACCCATTTAATTAACATTTTTTAAATAAAGTCTTTATTTTTTTCCAATGCCATCCTCTTAAATCATTACAAAGTTGTTGCAACTTGATGAAAATAGTTGTGCATGTAATATGTGCTACAGGAATACCAAATTGAATGAAAATATATTAGTTTAGTAAGCATAATAAAAGAAATTAATATCTATCTACTCAACTTATCTAATATAAATTTAAAAAAAAAATTGTTATTGTAATTCATTGTATTTGTAATAGCACCTAACATGCTAGAACATTTTAATGACAATAAACAAAAAAACTTATTAAATATGATAAATAAGAAACAAAGTAACTTTTATTTTCAGTTGTAAAAATAATTTAATAATTGTTTAGACTTAACATTATGACTTATAATAAATAAGTAATTTAAATTAAAAATGTAGATTAAGCCCAACAATGTATCATATAAAATTCACTTAATAGGTACATTAATAGTTCAATGATGTGTTGTATTAACAGAAAAATAATACAAATGTTAGGTTTTCTTTTTAATTATAGTTTAAAATATTTAAGAAAAATAAATAATTTTACAATTTACAATTTAATGTTAAAATATTTTCTCGATCTTTTAAATGAATGATTACTCATTTTTGTTTGATTTAATTTTTCTATATTATTATAGGAATAATACAAATTATAAGATATTTATTTAATTTTTTCTTCTGATTTAAGCTCGGCATTTTTTATTGAGTTTTTTATTTTTATTGTGTATGTACTTCTGTAAAATTTGTAAAATAAATAAAACAATACAATGATGTCTGGTAGCATTCCATATACGTATGCATTAGGCATAGAACAACTTGATGATAAGGCTTGTAGTGTATGTACTACAAGTATTCCAAACTGAATCTATAATTTATAAACAATAAAATAAAAGATCCTATGATTTGATTTTGTTTTGTTGATAATTACCAGYTGAATAATAGTCACATATTTTTTGTATTTTAAAGTAAATTTGTGATATTGTGGTCCCATAGATGAAAGTTGATAGTAACCGTACATAACAATATGTACTACTGAGTTCACTAAAATTGGAAACGAAGCCATACCACCTATAATAAATGGTTAGGTAATTAAAATCATTAAATTATCTCAATGGATTTTAAATTAAATTTGCTTAGTTGTTTAATTACTGTTTATTTACCTGGGAAGAATTTAACAGCTGCCCATGCTAAAAGAAATGTAGATGCATGATGATAAACATGAAGTCCAGAAACTTGTTTTATCTTTTTACGTAGTATGAAAAATGCCTAAAATTAAACAATTTTAAATATATTACCTATATTTATATATATATTATTTATTATAATTAAGGAACTTTTGTTTGCGTCTAAAGTGGCATTCTAACATTCTAACATAATACAGTATATCATAATATGCATTCTCAAGATAATATTAACTTTTATCTAATTTTAAAAGTATAATAAAAGTTTGTCTTGTAAATTATGCCGTAATATTATAATTTAAAAAGGGATAAATTAATAAATGATATATATTAAGGTATATTTATATTGTGTTATTACATAATTAGTGTTTTGCATCTGTCAATTTCTTTTGTTTCAACCTGACTAATTCGTATGCACTTAAATCTGTCATTTTAATACCAATTGTATGATAGATTATATTGGTAAAAATTTAGAACTTTTCAGCCTTTTTAATTTAAATTTTAATAAAAAATTACCCAACTATTTGAACTATACAAAACGTTGCGCATTCATACATGTGATATAAAGGAGTATATCATTATTGGGGTCTGTATGAGTCACAGAATCCACCCATTAGTAACAATTAACCAGACTATAGTCATTAAAATAAATAAAAGGGAAATTTGATTCTCATCAATAACCATTTAATATTGCTGTTATATTTCTTGGAAAAATGTTGTATGTTCAAATTATTATTAACTACTACATTTGTTAACAAAACATAATAAATATTTATTTTGCTTCTAAAGCTTATATTTTATAAAGTTTACGTTTATACAAATAACACAACTACATTTAATTTATTTCATGTTAAAACATTAAAGATGCCTGTTGTCTAAGTCTAATGTAGATCAAAAAGTATCTAATTGAAAATAAATACAATTACATAACAAGTAGTTACTAAAGACAAGCATTCAAGAATATGAGATAATCCATAAGTAATAAATTAATAATTCAACGTAATCTAAACCCAATGTAATTAAAATTTTGTAACCCAATGGCCTATGTAGCAGAGGGTATATTTTATTTAGTAAAAAAAAAAATTAATAATCTAAAGACTGATATGAAATTCTCAGTAGAAATTGAATGTTAAGATTTCTATTTAAAATGCATTGTTTTCTAATTATTTTAGATAGGCATTACTTACAGTCTCAGCAAATTCAACCAATTTCAACATGTATGTCCACCAAAAAAGTTGAGCTAACTACAAAAACAAAATAGTTAATTATATTATCTTTAATATATATATATATATATATTTTGATTCAGTTAAAATTAGTTAAATACAAATATTTGTTTATTCTACTTTTTATTAAGCCATTAAATGAGTGTTACACAATAACTGTATGTAATTTTATCTTCTAAAATCTCATTTCAAAACTCTCAAGACTTGTTGTCCCAAGAAATATTCTTCAGATTGAATATTAGATAAAAACAAAAGTGAAAAGGAGACTAAATGTAAATATAAACGCAATTGTTATTACCAATTTAAAATAAATTTAGTTACTTTAATTTTTTTTTAAAGTGGTAGGTAACCACAACCACTCAATTGTATAATAAGTATCGAGTATACTTTGGTCATTGAGTAATTCACTGTAATGCATAAGTTAATTTAAATTCAATGATGACTGATTGCATGCGAAAAACGATTCTGAACAAATATGGTTTATAAGCACTTATATGTTATGTGCCTTATGTCATTATAATATATTTACTTTCATTATAGTAATTTTACGAGTATTAATTTGAAAGGCATTATATTATGATATAAATAATTTTAAAATGTCATTGTGTATAGTAAAATATAATAATATATGTAAAAATGTAAATCCAAAATAATAGTTTTAAATTTCAACAAAATAACTAAAATCGTAATTTTTCGTTTAAGTATCCAATTTCGTAGAAATTAAAAAAAAAAATGTGCTTATAATATATTTTACTGAACTAGGTACTGAGGATCCTTATTTAGTTATATTGTTTTATCAAACTTTTGAAAGAGTGAACACTGAACAATTGTTGTCAATGATATTATAACTCTGTTCTACTAGAGAACATAACGCGGCCCGACCAACAGGTTTTTCTGCGCATTGACATGCTACACCTTGCTATGTGGGAACCTAGTTCAATAGCATGTTGACGAGGGGGATGCGCAGAACTGGGATGCTCTTCTCTCGTGGAACAGAACACAGAATAAACAAAAATTTCAAATGTCTATTAATATAAATATTTTTAAAAAAGTCTTAAAAGGAATCTTAAAAATACAAAGTGTATAAAATTATTATATTTGGTGAAAATTTCAAGTACCTATCTACGGTTATTTGTTTTTGAATTTCTACTAAATAAGAAAAAGTTATTTTTCACATAACGCAGTGGCGTAGCCAGGGGGGGCACAGTGGCCATACCCCCCATGGGCTGTATCATATAATATATAAAAAATAATCGTAAATTTATTAATTTTGGCTATGTACCGGTTGGGAGTTAAAATTAAAAAAAATGTTATGTTAATTGTTTATCAAAACACCGTAGATTTATAAGCGTGTTATTATCATCAATATTTTCCAAATATTTGTAAAATTAAAAATTCTGTTATTTGAATGTTATTTATT